CATTAAAAATCAGTAATTCAGTTAAAAAGTTTATAACATAACACCTGATGACGGCTCTATGATAGCCGAAACATGTCGTAAATGTTCCATATGTAAATCGAGTACTCGATACGGAACGAAAAATGATATTTTAATCTTTTAATTATCTTATATTGTGATTGACGGCCAATTTTAATATATTTTAATACTATTTAAATAAATCACAATATGACGCACCTACAATATCTTAGTAGACTTAGTATTACTAGATACTCACATGAATAAAATTTATATGTCTAACGAAGTAAGCCACAATTTCCCCGTGCACTTTAATGTTTCAACTGCTTCATTACTTTAGGCCCATGCAGTATATTCTGAAAAGGTTTATTAAATGTACTGAAAAGAATTTACATAACATTGTATTAAATGTAACAAAACTGCCCGTACTTAAAATACATAATTCCTCGCAATTCCTACTCATAATTCCAATCAGGGTGCAACAACAACTTGATTCTTGAATATTCGGCTACAGGAGTATCAGACTACTTATGCTGTACACTTCGTTACTCAGGTGCTCGTATAACAAGTATGCAGATTACCTTTTCTTTTATGTCATAAATTTTCCTTCCTTAGACTTTGCTTCTGCTTGAAGATCTTCCTTTATTCCCAAATCTCTATTAATGCATGACCGTAGTTCATATATGATTAGCAATTTTGCACTCTCATCTCGATGAGAAGGTTGACGAGTTGCTTTACGGCATGTGTTTTTAGGCCGCATACAGTAAATTCATGTATTTATTCTAGTCACTACGGATCACTTCACTTCAGGATCCCACACTACCGCACATAACATTAGTACACACGTGCAGCCTGTAAGTAAATCCGCCTACAGTGACAGCTGCTGGATTTCTGAAGTGATAAGGAGGTTCACTGTGAGGCAGTAAGTTATTACTCTTTATAGCCCAAGTTTCAAAAGTGTTTCGGGTTCATACACCTGACCCAGGTATTTAAAGGTTAAAAACTGTGAAAAATTTTCGTGTCATTTTACTTTCCCATTTTGAATGATAATATGAGATGTTGTGGAAAATGCAATATAAGATTCAATTTTAAGAAATATGCAAGTTAACAATTCATTATGTTCATTTACAATTTAAACAGCAGCACTATATCTTTAAATATGCAGGTAAATGTATCTGAAGAAACTTATTCATGCAAATTAAATACACATTTTCTGCATGGTGTGGATGGTGGTGTAAAAGATCTTCAGATGTTCAGAACTGCCAAGGTAATTTTCCTCCCCTAGTAAAATGACCTTTTATCTCTTTCTCTATTCCTCCTTTCTGTAATTTCACTGGTAGCTGAAGTCCTTCAGTAGTACTGTATGCACAGAACTCTGACCACCTCTTTCACAAAAGGAACCACAGAACACACAACGCGTTTAATTTTTCATCTGCTAACTTAATACAAACATCCAGAGGTATCTCAAGCATTCGGCACTTCCTGTTTCAGTTACATTTCTTTAGCTCGTAAGGACAAGGCAGATATTTGAAAACTCAAATAACTTCATAAACTACTATGCCTTAGCCTAGTTAAGGTGATAAGCAGTCGAAACAAATTTTTCTCGACTCCCACTCCGCCCAAAACATGTAGTAGAAATGTTTCTGTCTGTCCTGCAAACACTTATACTTTATCTGATTCTCTGCCTACTACCCTCTATTAATACACAGTCAATTCTTCTCAGTACTCATGAACAAGATCTTACTTGGTAACTATGACCAGACAAACATTATTGCTATGGGTCACACAACAAATGAAAGAATGTATTCTTCATTGGTAGTTCGTGAAATTGCTGGCTATCGCGCTGTTACAATAAATACGAGTCCCCCAAGTCGTGTACAAATACAACTTCAGCAGTGGCATTTAACATTATTTATATAATAAATAGAAAATATTATAACTCTGCAAATCATTATTGCTGCAAAGAGTAATGTAATTGTTATTTTATTATTGAAAAAAGTAAGTACAGCAATAAGAAATGAAACTTGATGAGGACAAAGTTAGAAAGCAGTAACATCACTTCCTCTTATAAGACTTATTGTTCTAATACTGTTGGGAGTGTTAGAATTTTTCCAAAATCTTTCCTGAACCGTACGCGAGGAGACATGAGCTTGGAGGCAGGAAATTCAACGATCCGCCACGTTGCGCGACATTGGCCAGCTGCGCCAGCAAGTGACTCGTATGTAAATGCCCTCAGTTGCGACCAACCCCAATAAAGACACCTTAATCAAATATCACACAACAATAATAATCAATAAATCCATGTTTATACTGGTACGAGGGTACGGCAGTTATTTTAATTACATATATTCTTGCTACTAACATTTCTAAAACAAATATATTATTTGCAACAAATTACTAATTTTTGGGTAGGACATAAGTTATCGCGTATCTTTTTGCCACATCTGAACACAAGCAAATTTCTTACCAGAAAGAAAAATACACAGTATAATGACTTCGGAACAAAATATATAGCCTACTAACACTATTTGCATCACTTTATCGTGTGGTCTGTTACGATTTCATGCCAACTCTTCAGTGGCCCTCCTAAATACTCCAAAATATAATATCAACTATTATTCTTGTTACAAACAACCTACGCTTCTATTATATTAAAAACTGTATTACTTACAGCTGGATCGTGCGGAACGTGTTGTTCTTATTCAAATTTCAGCTAGTTCTGAAGTCATCATCTCGTGCCTTTTATCAGTGAACTAGGAAATGACGTTAAGCGACCATGCATGCGCCTACTGATCCTTTGCCAGTAGCGATTAACATGTTATCAAACTTGTTTATATAGAAGCAACTACTGTAAAACTTGAGACAATAGTAATAGGTATACGTTAAATTTTGTAATGATTGTTATTTGTTTGTTTTGTTTAATTAAACTCTATTAAATATTAATATTTTAATATTTTCCGTCAAATCACAATTTTAATAAGATAATAAAATATAAAATATTTAAAATATCATTTCACGTTCCGCATCGAATGATCGATTTACAAATTGGAACGTCTCTTACGACATGTTTCGGTTATATTTAACCGTCCTCAGGTATAAATTAGATTGGTAAATTTAAAACTCGAATTACAATCATTTACAATGTTATGCAGTTTATTGAAATGTTCTTATCAGATTACTCTCATATATTAGAACGAAGGTATTGTTGCGGAACGTGAAATGATATTTTAAATATTTTATATTTTATTATCTTATTAAAATTGTGATTTGACGGAAAATATTAAAATATTAACCTAATTCACAATATGACGCAAATATACTATCTATTAAAGATCTTACATTTTTAATCGATTACATTAGCCATTACAGCAAATGTCAGGATGATGCTGTTAATAACAGCAAAACGTAGAAAATTAGAATTAAATAGGATTTGAGATTCTCATGGCAGCTGTCTTCTGGGAGGTAGTGCCGTGTAGTCTGGTACCTGTTACCAACGGTTTGGAGGTTCTCGATGATCTTTCTGGTGATGAGACCAAGGATCTCAGAAACGTTAATAAACTTACACTGGACCACAAATTGTAAGAGAGTAATCATCTCATTAGAATGGAATTCTCCACCTCGCTTTCATCCAAGAAGATGCGGATGGAATGCTTATCTTCTTTTTACACTAAGTATTAAGATTCTTCACAAAGCCTTAATTTAGATGGATTCTAAATCTCCAAACTGGTTTTCATGTTGACTTTGAATTTTTAAGACTTCTACTGTGTCCTTTTGGCTTATCTGGCCTCTGCTCAGTTGTGAAACTACCGAGATGCGAAACTGGTTGTCAACTTGTCCGCGAACTTGGCTGCATATCAGCATGCCTGAATAACCGCGCGCCCTGGACCGACTCGGACCTAACTGAGTGCCTCCGTAGGTGATATCAGTCCGAATGGCTGGTGACCTCAACGAAAAGCACACGGACTGGAATTCTAGGCTGATCTCTGCGAGGGGTTCGCTCCTGTGGGATTACGCTAACAGAAACTCCTGCTTGATCTACGGACCGGACTCCCCAGCCACGGTTCTTTACACACACAACGGAACCCCTAACGCCCTTGACATTGTAGTCGTCAAGGACTTCGTCCAACCGGTGTATCTGGCTGTCTGTTCCGCACTCCACTCAGATTACCTGCCTGTCCTCATCGACACCACGTGCCGATCATCCTTTCAGAACCTACCTGACCGCCCAAACTTCGCGCGAATGGACTGGCGTGCATTCCGAGCTTGCCTTGAAAGCAGACTCCCTGGGAATCCCGTGGTAAACGACGAGAAGGCAATCGACAAGTGCGTCGAGGAGCTGACTAGCGCCATCCTCGAGTCCACAGCGGCGTCAGCTTCCAACCTTCGACCCCGCGTGGACAGGTGGCCGCCCTTGCCCGCTAGTATTCAGGATGAAATACGCCTGAAGAACCGGCTGAGGAGGCGGTAACAGGTCACGAGGGACCCCGCCCTCAAAGCTCAGGTCAACCGACTCTAGAGGTCGGTGAACTATAGGCTCAACGAGTGGAGGAACGAACAGTTGACCGACATGCTGGAATCCTTGCACTGCGAGGACCAGTCGCTTTGGAAGATAACCAAGCGGGTGATGCTAGTCCCGACTACGTCGCCTTACTTGCAAGTGTCGAAGGACAAGTTGCCTGACGGGATAACCTCTCATCAGCAGCAACTGACACTGCTTTGAAAAGTCAATGTTTCTGTAGCGACAAAACCCCAGTTAGCGTAAGCAAACTCAAGTTTTAGTTACCATTTCCAGCAATATTAGGCATGTGAACGTGAGGCCAGCAGTCAAGTTAGTCGGCTTTGTCTCTCTGGAGCTGTTACGCCACGGATATAATTTAATATGTTTTATATGCAGGAATTGTGTTACCTAGCAGGGGATGTGCAGGACTACGCCTTTAAATAGCTTCTAGGTTGGTTGCTTGTCATCAAAACATTGATGATGCGAACAGAAATGGTCCACGAAACGTCGGATTTTTTGTTCGACCAGTTGACGCAGCTGATCGCCCGAGAAGATTTTATTGAGTTACGTCGCCGCGAAAGTTTCAAATAAAATAATAATAATGACGATGATAATAATAATAATGGGGAGAGGTAGTACCTTTCACCATCATAGTCTGACTATGCTGGACACTGGCCCTCACCCACCCAGGAGTAAGTGAAGCGCAATACAGATGCTAGGCATCCAAGAGCCTCTCCTTGCTCAAGACCGTCCGTGCGTGGTGAAGAGCCACTTCCGACTAGAGGTGACCCTGTTATATAACAGAACACGGCGGATCTAGAGGAGTAAACCTCGATAAATAATCCTTTAGTTCAAAGTGTGGACAACCGTGCAGCTACTACCGAAGAATGGAAAGACAAAGATCTGGAGTACAGGTCGCCTAGGTACTCCAAGGGCTGAGGTTGGTTACGGTAACGAGGCAACTCAACGCAGGCCAACCATGGACACGCACAGCCATCAAGCCCAAGACTCACAAGAAAATCAATCAAGAAAAACAAGAGTGGCTTGGACAAGAGAAGAAATGAAGGAAGTAGTGTGGTGTCACATCTATTATAAAACATTTTCTTCAGACGACTACAAGAGTGTGTACGAGCTATGGAGGAAAAGAAATCAAAACATTAGAGCGAATATAGATGCTAAGAAACTTATGAACCAAAGAAACTACATTGCGAAGAAAAAAAAAGTAACTGATCTGGAAATGGAAGAAATGAAGCAGGAGATGAAATTAATTCAAGAAGGTCATTTAAACAGAAACAATGAATAGCAATTAGAGCAAGCACATGATACAATTCCTGAGCAGGCCCAAGAAAAC